CACTGCACTGGATTCACAAAACCAACACGGCTTATTTAACCCTTTTCATCTCTCGTGCCAGCAGGGACTTCCTGAGCATAATCCCACAGTATCTGAATAATTAGAAGGTGGTAATGAGGATTTAATTAGTCCTTGAGATAGGTTGGAACAGAACCCCTAAGAACTTTTCCTCTCGGACACGGATCGCAGGCAAAATTGATGGTGCTGCTGGCTGTGACTTGAGCCAGTTCTTTGAGCCCTTGTGAGAGCATCAGATTGACGCAGGAGACATCCTGGGTGAAGCTTTCCAGAGCCATTAGCAGCGGCCCCAGACTTCATCTTTTCTCCATGCCGACCTACATAAAGATCTCGTTTTCTTCTCCCTGTTCAGAAAGATGAGTTGCCATAGCAGCCTGAGTGTTAGCCATGCCTAACTGAGGACCACTCGTGCTGTAACAGATACCAACATCAGCCGAGTCAAATCAGTACAACTAAGAGAAAAGCAGTGACAAAGTGTTGCGTTTTTATAAATTTCAAGTATTTGGTGTGGTCAGACATCATAGGGTCTTTGACTGTTGTTTGAAACTTATCCCTGGAATTTGATCTTCGCAGCGACGTTTCTCAGTAACTGCATTCTAGTAACAAAAGTAGTCTGGTACCCAGGAAAGCATTGACAGACCGGGTGTGGTATGCATTGAGACGCCTTTGTGGACTGCTGCAAAAGGAGATCAGGGCCCAGGCAGTTATGACCGGCCCTTTAGTGCTTAGTCGTCTTCCCAGCCAGGGTTTAGGTGTGTGTTTGCACTGGTGAGCAGGGCGTGTCTAGATTGCTACTGCATTCGTCTTACAATGCGGTTCTTACGCGTTCCTCTATCAGCTGTCAGCGCACATCAGCTTCTCTTCCACGTGAGCAGAGCTACTCATGCAAATCTCAGTCACACTGTGCGAAACAGACCTTTCCCATACTCTGTGTTTGTGCACATGTGTATACAGATGCCCTCCTCAACAGCTTCACATCATAGCTTTTAAGACAAGATCTACCACCAAAATAGGAGCTTAGCAGTTTACCTCTGCTAACTAGTGAGCCAGAGAGTTCTGGGGACCCACTCTTTCCACCACCCCAGTAATAGGAGTGCAGGCGTCTGCCAGCTCAGCACCCATGGCTTCTTAAGTAGGTGCTGGAGACCCAGACTCAGGCCACCCAAGCCAGCTCCTCAGCTCCTTTCTTGTATTTTCTGATGCCATGGCATGGAAAGGAGATCTCTTGGGGTGAAAGACTTTTTTTTTATTGGCCTTTAATCCTAAACCACCCCCACCTGCACCCTGCTCTCCCTCTTAGTGGTCATGGAGTTCCAGTAGCTCTACCTTGCTAACTCCCCACATGAGCTGAGCAGCCAGTGTCTCCAGTACCTTCAGCAATCTGCAGCTCTTCTTGCTGTCTCCAGCCTGCCCGTCCTCTCTGCTCCCTGTGCTGCGTTCAGAGCTGGCCTTCTGGGAGACTTGGTCATTTCATCTCAGTGTCCTTCTGTTGAAGAACTGATGTACTCAGTTGAGGCTCCTTCTCTGAGCAGACCTGTCCTCCATTTCTGGTCCCTCTCCACACCCTGTGTCACAGCTGGCCGCCATGCTAGCCCTGTCTTGGAACCTCTGTGCACACAGACTGTTCTGTGAGCTGCCAGTATCTCCTTGCCCGGCTCTCACTAACAGTCAGGTTCAGATCAGTGACCTGTGTTTACCTTCAGCGTCAGCGTTTGCCATGTGTGAGGTAAATGAAGAGGCCCCTGTATGGTGGGCCTGCAGACCCCTATTGGTTGGATGCCACAAGCAGAGGCTGGCAGCCCTCTTGGTCACCCACAGGTGGGTGACTCTGAAGCATCATAAGCCAGAGCTCCACTGGAGGCCAGGCCTGTGGCCCCTCCTCCTCAGATCCCAATGTTTCATACTCCATGTGCAGACTCCTTTTTGTCTGCAGACACCAAGGTCTGGGTCTAGTTGCAGACTCTACCATTAATGATCTTGTGACCTTGGACATTTGGTGAAATCTCCTTGAATATGACATGAAGGTCAGAACACCCTTTGGACACACTGCAGATAGAGAAGACCTTGTATTGGAAGCGGTAAGTGCAAGGCATTGAACATCATGCAGGTAGCTCGAATAAGATAGACTGAAACCGGCGGAGAGCGTCATTTGTTTCTTTTTGGATGAAATTAAAATAGTTGAGGATGCTGTGGCCAAACGCTTGTGTCTTTCCACACAGCAATGCACCCACCCGCGAGGCCCTCAGCTCTGAAGAGAACTTTTGCAGTAGACATTTTCGTAGAGAAAGGGTGAATATTCCATCACCGTCTACCAGCTGGGTGATCAGTCTGACCCTCCCCTGACTCTAATTTACCCAGTGATAGATGATGTCAGCTTGGATGTAAGTCAGCAGCTGAGAGCGGGTGGGGTGGCCAGGGGTGGCCTAGCGGCTGTATGGAGCCTGTGTGTAAAACTCTGCCGGTTAACCTAATGGCACAGCTGGCACAACACGGGGGGGGGGGGCCGGGTTAAAGCCATGAATGGGCCATTAGTTTCCGTCTTCCTCAGAGCACTTCATGTTGTGAAGAGAAGCCGGCAGCCAGATAAACACTGGCGATATTAAAATGTAACAAGAATGCTTCTTACGATCTGTTTTTCTCTCCAGATGGGAATGTGACACCTATTTGTGAAGAGAAATAGCATGTCTGCCTTTCTAGTTGAGACGTTGTATGGAGGTGGTGACGTGTGTGACCACTGACACACATGTGGTTTCTATTGAGCGGGCTTGCAGAAACAAGTAATTCTAAGGGGCGTTTTCTTTTTTTTTTTTTTTTTAAGCAGATTTTAAGCATGAAACTAGATTGCCCCTGTGCCAAAGGACAAGCCTGCTTGGTTCTGGTGGATTCTGGATCCTTGTGAGTCTTACAAGTGCCTCTGTAGCTCTCAGCATCTTATACTACGTCCCTTGGTGAGGCCGTTGAATAGAGTGTGACGGGGCCAAACTGCCGCATGAGCAGTGCTCTCCTTGGTTTCCAGAACTCTGCCGTGTGAGCCTGCTGCTCTCCTTGGTTTCCTTCCTGTAGAATGAGCCATTGCTGGGTTTTTACCTGACCCCTTTTCTCAAACCAGCTTTGCAGAATTTGTCATCACCTGAATAAGATGATAGACGTTAGAAGCCAAGACCCTAGCTAAAATTCCTTCCAGTTTACCTTTGGAAATCCCGTCTTCACACATAAGATGACACTGAAGAGAACGCTAGGGGATCTTTGATCTTCATACCTTCAGAAAATCTTGGCAGATGGCTAGCCACTGATGTCTGAGGTCCTGAGATTAGCAGAGTTGCAGCCTGTGCTCCTCACCTGGAGTGTCGGTTCAGGCTCTTGACAGGAATTATTCATTCCTCTCCCCTCTGCCTGTCACCCCCAACAGCTTGAGTCATGGACCACCCAGACCTGGTCAGAACTTAGCTTATCTGACCCATATTGTGGCCTACCAGTTATTTCTAGAACCAGCCATTTGGAAGGGGTTTGTGCTTTCTGGATAGTAAAGTAAGTAAGGCAGGACACCCTTGAGCTCTAACTGACTGTGGAAAGAGAAATCAACAGACAGGCCCTAGGGCCACTTGCTTCCTAGGCAAGGGCCCAAACTGCAGGCCACAGGTGCCTGGGGACAGCATTCCACCGGGGGAAGTAACCACTCACAGGGACTTAGAATGTGGTTTGCCTTCAGTGGGGAGTAGTTTGTAGGGGAACCTGGCAAAGAGATGCATTAGCACATGTCTGGTCCTGTGGCAGGAGGTAAGTGGTGGGTTGTATGTAAACGCTGGAGTAACAACAGCTGTCTGTCTCTTCCTGAGCCTCGTGTGTGTGTGTGTGTGTGTGTGTGTGTGTGTGTGTGTGTGTGCGCGCGTGTGTGTGTGCGTGCGTGCGTGCGTGCGTGTGTGCGTGTGTGTGTGTGATCTCCACACCTCATCTCCTCCTTTAAGGTAGGTGTAGTTGTCAGAAAGGGCAGCAGGCTGACTCCTGTGTGGTTCCTCCACATTCTGACCAGAGCCTGTGCTCTTCAGGCTGCGGGCACAGCGGAGTTGCACTGACACGGGGACCCCCCTGGTGGTGGGAGTAGCTGTGCTTTCTGCTCCGTCCACCACTCAGTCTGGCTTTCCTGTCAGTTGCTCCTTCTCATGACAGTCTGTCCTTGAGTGACTGTCTGTCTTTCCTGGGAAAGGATTCTCTGATCCCAAGACAAGAAACGGCCACTCCTGTTCATCAGCCTGCTTTTATGCAGCAGAAGTACAGGGCTCTGAATGGAGCTGTCCCGTTAGTCATTCCAGGCATGTGTGTTTGCTCCAGCCACACCCGACACTGCCTGACAGATGAGAAAGAGGGTTAAAGCCTCAGGTGCTCAGAGTCTGTGGGAGAGAGCCAGTTACAGTCACAGATCGCTGTGTCAGCATGCTGGCTGCCTCTGCCCAGAGGACATGTGTGATGCTGGCCTCGCATAGGAAGCACCTACAAGGCCAAGGGTGGTGATGGGGGGGGGGATGAGGGTGGGAGTCCCTGAAGGTGCCCAAAGGACAGCACTAGGCAGAGTTTTGTTCCTCTCAAGGTGCCTCCCCTCGTGGGTTTCTCTTCCCATCTGACGGCAGGTTGAACATAATGGGGAGAAAGCTTGTTTTGTGAGCCAGAGGGTACATGAATAAATAAAACACACCCACATGCTCTGCATACCCTCAGATGGTACAAGATGTCTCTCACAAGCGAGGGGACCTCTGCAGGCCACCATCCTCAGCTCGTTTTGAACTGTAAATGAACTACTAATGAGGCCATCTCCATGATGCTCACGAGGTGTCAGAGGTTGTTGCATGAGGGAACGGCAGCTTCCCTGGACCATGGACTCAAGTGACTGGACGCACCTAGGTGATGGAACCAGGAGTGCCACAACAGGGCAGAGCAGGGCTTGGGTGGGAAGGAGTGTGTGCAGGGCCCCCAAGCCTGGTCACTCGTCCTGCAGACAAATCGAGTTTATTAACTAACACTGGTGACGAGTCCCTAAAGGCAGGTGAGAAAACAGGTTGGCGTATACCTGAAGTCATCCGCCATTAGCACGACCAGAGTTCTCTGGTTCATAGAGGAAGGCCAGTCAGAGGGTGGGCATGGTTGCGGGGGCTAGAGGCAGGGTGGGAAGAGGCCCTGGATGCTCCCTCCTGTGGCAGTGGTCCCTGGTTACGAGTCAGGAGCTGGAAGAGTTTGGAGAAAGGGGTAAATGCTCAACTAACCGTGGAAAAGAACTAACCACATAGAAGGCCCCTGGTGACCTCTGAGGTCAGTAGTACAGGGTGCTGAGCTTCCAAGGCCACTCCAGGGTCACAAGCCTCAGGCAGATTTGCCTCTCAAGCCTGGCTTCAATAGGGCTGGGAGGTAGGGAGGCCTCTCCTCCCCTACTCCCCCTCCCCTGTACCTCCTCCCGTGCTCCCCTACCCTGCTGTCCCTCTCCTCACCCTCCTGACCTCCCCACCTCCCATAGCACCCCTGCCCCGTTCCTTTGGGGTGGACACTGTGACTCATCCTACCTTCCTAGCACCGTGGACCATGCCCAGTACCTGACACTTAATACATTATTTACAAAAGAAAGAGAATGTTCCAAGGCTTTTAATACTATATGAAATTCAAGGGGGTGGGGAGATAGGTGGCCCAGTGGCCCGGGTGACGGCTGTGTAAGCATGAAGACCACAGCTTAGATCCCCAGAGCCTGGTGAGGGTGGTGGCCTCTGTAATTCCAGACTCTGAAGTCAGTGACAGGGAATACCCCAGCAAAGCTACGAGTATAGCCCGAGCAGTGAGCTCTGAGTCTGACAGGGACTTACATGGATCCCAGGTCTCCACACCTCCACACACCCACAGATGTGCACACCCACACACTTGCACAAAAACACAACATGTCCACACACCCACAGATGTGCACACCCACACACTTGCACAAAAACACAACATGGCTTTCTTTAAGGAATTGCAGGTAACTTTTACAGTTTATCACTTTCCCCTTCTAGGTTTTATTTTCTGTTCAGTCAAATTTTAAAGTCTGAAAGCCTTATGATCTTGTGTTTTCCTTTTAAAAAGCTTTTTCTTCTTCAGCTGACGAAGGCTACAGTAGAATGGGACCTGCGGGTAGATTGTGTAACGTGGTCACAAACCTGGGTACCAGCTTGGTGGCTTAGGGTGTTCACACCGTGAATAGAGGGTTCATAGGCTCACTGTCAGGTAATAGCGATGCTTACAATAGCATCCATGGGCTCCTCAGCGCTGAAGATGCCTTGTACAGCATCCTCAGCACAGGGGTGTGCTCCTGTGTGCAACTGCCTTACTTGACTCTCAGAATGATCCTGTGGCCTGAGAAAGAAGTGACTGGCCTGCTCACACTCCTCTGCTCACACTCCTTTGCTCACACTCCTCTGACACTCACACTCCTCTGACGCTCACACTCCTCTGCTCACACTCCTCTGACGCTCACACTCCTCTGACGCTCACACTCCTCTGACGCTCACACTCCTGACGCTCACACTCCTCTGCTCACACTCCTCTGACGCTCACACTCCTCTGCTCACACTCCTCTGATGCTCACACTTCTCTGACGCTCACACTCCTCTGCTCACACTCCTCTGACGCTCACACTCCTCTGATGCTCACACTCCTCTGATGCTCACACTCCTCTGACGCTCACACTCCTGATGCTCACACTCCTGACGCTCACACTCCTCCGACGCTCACACTCCTGATGCTCACACTCCTGACGCTCACACTCCTCTGACGCTCACACTCCTAACGCTCACACTCACACTCCTCTGCTCACACTCCTCTGCTCACACTCCTCTGACGCTCACACTCCTCTGACGCTCACACTCCTCTGACGCTCACACTCCTGACGCTCACACTCCTCTGCTCACACTCCTGACGCTCACACTCCTCTGACGCTCACACTCCTCTGCTCACACTCCTCTGACGCTCACACTCCTCTGACGCTCACACTCCTCTGAGGCTTACACTCTGACGCTCACACTCCTCTGCTCACACTCCTCTGACACTCACACTCCTCTGACGCTCACACTCCTCTGACGCTCACACTCCTCTGACGCTTACACTCTGACGCTCACACTCCTCTGCTCACACTCCTCTGACGCTCACACTCCTCTGACGCTCACACTCCTCTGACGCTCACACTCCTCTGCTCACACTCCTCTGACGCTCACACTCCTCTGACGCTCACACTCCTCTGCTCACACTCCTCTGACGCTCACACTCCTCTGACGCTTACACTCTGACACTCACACTCCTCTGACGCTCACACTCCTCTGCTCACACTCCTCTGACGCTCACACTCCTCTGACGCTCACTCCTCTGACGCTCACACTCCTCTGACGCTCACACTCCTCTGCTCACACTCCTCTGCTGACACTCCTCTGACGCTCACACTCCTCTGACGCTCACACTCCTCTGACGCTCACACTCCTCTGACGCTCACACTCCTCTGACGCTCACACTCCTCTGCTCACACTCCTCTGACGCTCACACTCCTCTGACGCTCACACTCCTCTGCTCACACTCCTCTGCTCACACTCCTCTGACGCTCACACTCCTCTGACGCTCACACTCCTCTGACGCTCACACTCCTGACGCTCACACTCCTCTGACGCTCACACTCCTCTGACACTCACACTCGTCTGTGACAGACACAGGTCCAAGGGTGTACATTTCTCCTGACCTGCTCAGATTTCTCCGTCCTAAATGCCATGATTTTCATGTCAAAAGCACGGCTGTCCTCATTTGCAGTGTGAGGAAGAAGGTGTTTGTGTGGATTGTAGAAGTGATACAGGCTCAGTGGCAGAACACTTACTTAGGAAACTTTGTGTGTGTATGAAATATGTAAATTATATCTTCCTATGGAGTTCCTAATACAAATAACTAATCTAGTGCTTTGTCCCAAGTGTGAATTTTCACCTGCTAGATACTTGGTTGGGACAAGGAATTCCTGACTGCATACAACAACTTGGTGCAGAGGCCTTTCATCCAGTACTCACTAAGCTTCCCTTGCCGGAAAGTTTGGCTTCTAACTAGTGACACTTCATACCTTGTACAAAGCTGTGTTCTCTCGGCTGTCAGATTGTCTCTTCTCCTCTGTCACAAACCGCCACTCCATAATAACTTCCTAAGAGCAAAATACAGGCAAATAAATACTGACACCATAAATAGGCAGAAACACTTTTATTGAAATTTGATTCCCACCCCCTTTGGAAGGAGAAGAAATGCTTACAATGCCTATTCCCTTCAATAAAGATGTAAAATAAAATAATAACAAAAACAATTAAAGGACCAATCTCAAGAAGTTGCGGACATGTTGAGTCCACCCCCACCCTGCGGGAGAAAAACAAATGTCTGACTTGGAAGATAGAGAGCTAACGAGAGCTGGCATGTGGGGCCATGCTCAAGGCCCCTAAGATGAGGAGTTTAAGAGTCTAGTTGGGGTCTACACAGCAGGCCTTGACCTCGAACCATGCTGCTGTGGCCCTGGCCACCCCTCCTGCTGACCACATGGAGACAGGCAAGTTGCTGTTAGTGGTATTTATTGGGAACTGATGGCTCTAGGTCTTTTTATGGGATATTCTTTTCACTCACAGCACGTCTGTGAGGCAAATAAAATTGTCCCAACTTCATAAATACGGGAACAAACAATGAGCATGTGTGTATGTTGTTTCTATATTTACAGAGTAGAAATACCTCTTTTTCAAGTAACTTCTGTGTCACCTTCCACCAATCTTTTCAGAAGATTATGTCAATGTTCCATAACTGTTAAAAATTGGAAGTCTTGGGAGCTGGCAGTGTAGCTCAGTAGTATAAGCACAAGGTCCCGGGTCCTATTCCCAGCACTGCAGGGGAGAAGGAACAACTAGAAGTGCTCTTTAGTAGTCGTGGTGCTTAGCTGTGAGTATGCATGCATTAGACGCCACTGTGTGAGCCTCCGGCTGGCCTTAAGGCTTTAAGCGCCGCTCACTCCCCTTCAGTCCTCCTTGTGCTGTGCACTGCCGCAGCGTTGGCTGAAAAGTGTGCTGGTCCTTTCCTGTCGCGACGTCATCTGGCCAGTACTGATACTCGCCCTGAGATCCTGCTATCTGCAGGGGCTGGCCAGAAGACCATAACCAATGTGTACAGACGGATGACAGGAGCAGAGAACCCGAAGACCAGTATTCCCAGCCACATACCGTAGCGTACCTGCAGAACAACACACCGAAACCGCGGCTGCCGCAGCAAGGGGCTCTGGGAAGGGGAACGAGTGCATTGCTTCCCAGGACGTGCCCCTCCCACACCCCTTGGACTGTGCACACCGCTGAGTGCCCAGGTAGTGCAGATTCCACACAGTAAAGTGAAGCAGGCCCAGAAGTAAACGCCAGCGCATTCTTTGTGACCGGAGACTGCGTCCGAGTGGTGGAGCACCAAGAGCCAAAGGCACCCTTGAATAAACCAGGGATTCACCTTTCGTATTGCAGAGCACCCCCAGGCTGACTCTGGAAACTAGGAGTCTTCATTTTAAGAGGAGGCAACATCACATAAAGTCACAAGTTATAGTGAATGGGCACTGCACTGCAGTGCATTAACACACTTCTGACTGACTGACTGTCCGGCTAGATTCTGAGCTGAAGACACAGCTGTGGGCCCAGGCCTGCTACCCCAGCCCACTACAGTCAGTTGGGAACTGATGGTGCCACAGTCAGTCGGTGATTGCTGAGACAGAAGTCAGGGGTGGTGGCTCCTTTTCCTGTGGTTGAGCACCGCCTCCATAGTTGAGGGCAGTCGAATGGTAGAAGGGCCTGCTTGCAGTCCTAAGCAGCCACAAGGGAAGCTGTCAAACTGAAGTGCCTTTTCTATTAGCCGGGACCCTGTCTGAAAACCTGGAGGGTTCTGCTTTGTGTGACATCCTAAGATGCAGTCATGTACAGAAATGCTACTGCGCTGATTCGCACATGCTTGTTTTCAGACTGACAAAGCAGACATTTTCTCTGGTGATTTCTATCCAGAAGCTGCCAGTTGAGCCCAATTTCATAAGATTCCTTTTTATAAATAAATTAAACAGGGTAATAAGACGTGGCTCCCCTTGCCTTTACTTTGTGTCTCTTTAGGCAGGAACTGTTAGAAGATCTCATTTGTTCATAGGAAATGTAAACCGTGGTCTCTCACCTGAGAGCATTGCTGTCTCGTGCTTGGCCTGCCTTCCTGCAGGCCCGTCTCTCCTGCAGCTGCTGAGGGTCCACTCTGGGTTCAGCTCTGAGCAGGCATAGCTGCCTCTCCCCAGCCAGAGCTTCCACTGAGAAACGTGAGAATTCTCAGCCAGCACTGTTGCTGTCCAGACTGTTGTCAGTGTGCTGCTCTGAACACACTTCTGTTGGCCTAGGCCACTCTAGCGGGTATTTCTAACATTGTGTTTCTGCACAACTTAAGCGCATGCTTTCTTGTTGCATTTAAATACCTATTCGTCAAGTACCTACTGTGTTATGCTCTGCAGCAGCTTGGATATCCATGCAGTTATTTGAAACGCAGTTTGGGTTGGTGCTGCTTGGAGGTGGGAGGAGAAGGAGCACACCATGTGCTGCCCAGGGGATCCAGCCTGCATCGGGAGACTGCAGGACACTCTGCAGGACACTTTGGCTAGGAGCTTTGAGTAAGATGTGATTTTAGTTTGGTGTGTGTGGCATTTCTTAGTGAGGAAGAAAAGGCATGAGCAAGTTAAAAAGCAGTAGTGGTGGCTGGAGAATGCCACCTTGATGCTTTCTGTCCAGGCATGGTGATGTGCCTGGACACCAGGACATGATAGAAGCCAGGTGGGTGTGGCACCTGCCTCGAATCCCAGCACTAAGACAGGCTGGGACCATGGGCAAGCTGGCAAGCTGAACTGAGAGTAGTTAGACAAATAGCTGGGAGTAGGCTTTGCAGAAATAGGCCTGAAGAGATGAGCCATTTACCGTGTCTTCATAGTCATCAAGGAAGGCTGATGGATCCAGTGTGTGGCAGAGTCAGGGCACTGCCACAGAAGCAGCTGGGCCTGTGATGACGTCACACAGGGCAGACTGTGACTAAGAGAGCAGATTCTGGGCCTGTGATGACGTCACACAGGGCAGACTGTGACTAAGAGAGCAGATTCTGGGCCTGTGATGACGTCACACAGGGCAGACTGTGACTAAGAGAGCAGATTCTGGGCCTGTGATGACGTCACACAGGGCAGACTGTGACTAAGAGAGCAGATTCTGGGCCTGTGATGATGTCACACAGGGCAGACTGTGACTAAGAGAGCAGATTCTGGGCCTGTGATGACGTCACACAGGGCAGACTGTGACTAAGAGAGCAGATTCTGGGCCTGTGATGACATCACACAGGGCAGACTGTGACTAAGAGAGCATATTCTGGGCCTGTGATGACGTCACACAGGGCGGACTGTGACTAAGAGAGCATATTCTGGGCCTGTGATGACGTCACACAGGGCAGACTGTGACTGGCCTTGTAGACTCAAGGGTGGAAGTTGGAAACTCAGCTGGAGGTGCAGAACTCCAACGGGCTGGGGTCCCTGCAAGGCACAGGTGCTCCAGCTGTTGGGACCTGAACAGCTGTCAGGAGGGAGGCTGAGGGAGCAAGGGAAGAAGCTGGGGTGCTGTAGACCTGTGCTCCCCAGAGAAGGCACAAAGCCCAGCCTGACCTGCTGCGAGAGGTCTGCCCCACTCTGACTGTCCGTCTCTGGGGCTCGTCTACAAAGGAGGTGCTGTTGACTCCCTCTTTGTCCCATTTCCCGTGAATTTCCCTTGGTCAAGTCTACCAACTACTGATGTCTCAGAAACTCCAGTGAGACTTCAAGATTAAGGCCAGTGTGTCCCCATGGCGCCCTTTGGATGTTTCTTTAGGGGACTCTGGGGGTACCAATTACTGTATACAGAAATGATAAGACAGCTGCATGACTGTTTCTCTTTTTTCCCATGTAGGTTTTATGGCAGGTACACAGAGAAACCCTCAGATGTCTCAGTACGGACCTCAGCAGGCAGGACCATCCATGTCACCTCACCCTTCTCCTGGGGGCCAGATGCATCCTGGAATCAGTAACTTTCAGCAGAGTAACTCAAGTGGCACTTACGGTCCACAAATGAGCCAGTATGGACCCCAAGGTAACAAAAGCAAAACAATCTCCAAAAGGCATAGTGGTGGGTGGGAAGGATTTTCTTAACATGCTCATCAAGGTTCTAACGGTATGAATATGCATGGCAATTCTGTTGTTTGCTTTGGAGGATGATGAAGTTAGTGCAAATCCATGATGGTAGGAAGTTAAGTACAGCCACTGTCCTTAGCATGTAGGGCTTGGGCTTTGGACGCATGCTCACACATGAGTGGTATTCATTAAGGAGTAGACCTGGTCCTATGATGCAGCTCCAAGTGCTGGCGAAAAAGAGGTACAGCCACACCCTCAAAATGTCTCCCATTTAAGCTGGCCATTTGTGTAGCCTGCCAGTTTTTACAGTGTGTACACACTGGTAGCCTCTCGCATGATTAGGACCACAAGCTTCCTGCTCGGCATGGTGTCTGCAGTCCATGACCTGGTCTTTTCCAGTAGCTGGCACTTCTCATCTGAAAACAGTGGATCGCCAGGGTCTCGTTTTGACTCCATCTCTAAAAGATGTTAGGTATTCTTGGTGTTATCAGTGTGACGGTTGCTTTCCCTTATTTGCTTTATTGTGTTTGCTTTTCAGAACTCTTAGAATACCTCCCCATAACCCTCTCCAAATGACCCCTTCCTGCTTTGTTTGCATTGGGGGGTGGGCAGAGACTTAGGGTGTGGCATGATGACTTTATAGCATCTCGTGAAGTCGTCCAAAGAATGATGAGCAGCCCTGTTGGTAGCTGAGCTGATGTGGGCTCCAAGTCACGTCCCCTGAGGAGCCCACCTGCCTACCCCCTTACTAGGCCTGAGTGGGCTCTTCCCAAGCAAAGCTGGGCTCCTTAGCTATCATGGAAAGAAGCTTGGACAAGTGTTGGTAAATTCTGTAGTTACAGAAAGTGTGGGCTTTTCTTAAGATGTAACTGGACAAGGCTGTAGCCTTGCTATCAGAACTGGGGCTACCTAGGATCTCAGCCATGATCTCAAACCATAGAGGCTTCATGCATGACCATGTGGGTTTCATGCAGGACCATGCGGGTTTCATGCAGGACCCATGCCGGTTTTATGCAGGACCTTGTGGGCCTCATGCAGAGTTCACATATGAGCTATGAGCTTGTGATTCCTTAGATGCTCTGAGAAGTACTGTGTGCATAATCCGCAAGCCCCACTATAGGAGTTGAGATCAGGGAAGACCATTTCTGAGAAACAGATTCCTTTTTTTAGTAAGTTCCTCCATTTGTCCAAGTCACTGCATTGGACTAACCTTCGTTTAAGGGCACTGAGCCAGGCAAATCCTCCCTCACACAAACCACTCTGTGGCTCAGGCTCTTCCTGTGACTTCCTTCTCTCCCAAAAGGAAATTGTGTGCATCACCTGGGAAGGCAGTTGTTTCTGGTCCGGTGTTCTACCTGTTTGCTTCAGTTCCAGGGCCTTGCCCACAGCACAGCCCTGGATCCCTGAAAAGCAATGGGGCATATCATCAGGAAGGCATCTTATGGCTTTATTGGTACAAGCTGACAATAGGAACAATCGGAAGTAAGGATGGTGTTCCCACACCTGGCCTCTACCCAGTCTCTCCATCTCAGGCCTTCTGAAGTCTTCTTCCTGTGTGGCATCAACACCATGATCCACCGTGAGCGATGACCTTCCACGCTGGCACTAGTGATCTTAAAACCAGTTCCAGTCTCTGTCCTTGTCCAATGCCAGGCCCCTGTCTTATCCTAGCAAGCACTAAGACCTGGCATGTTCAAGTCAGGGACTGCCCTGTCTGTGCTCCTGCTTGGCATTCCTGTGAAGCAAGACCTCCAAAGAAGGGTTCCCCTTACTCATCCTACACATTTAAATTACCGGTAAAATAGTTGGCTAGTGTCTTCTTGTTCAAGGTCATAATCAGAAAGGCACTACTGTGGAAGGCAGGTCGTTAGTCTCATCCCTCAGTCTCTTAGCACGATGACTTTACCCTGGAGTTGATTTATTTTAAGGGGAAGACATTTTACAGCTTCTTCGGCTAACCTGCTTTTGCTAACCTGGAAGTAGCAGCCAAAGAAGCCAAAGCCAGATGTGATGGCTCGTGCCTGTAATCCCAACTCTCAGGCGGCAGAGGCAGGAAGATCACTGTAAATTTGAGGCCAGCCTTGGCTACCTAGCAGGATACTGTCTGGGGGAAAACAAGACCAAAGCAAAACATCAACCAATGCTCACTTAACTATGTGCCAGAGTGCAGGGTGTATTCTGAGCAGGAGAGCAGACGGGTTTCTTCCTGTGTCTCTAAGGAAGAGTCAAGCCCAGCACAGGAGCTCACTCCCTCTCCATGCAGGTCAGAAAAGCAGACTTTGACAGGCAGCTCTGTGCCCCTCCATCCCCACAGGTAGGACCAGGCTTCAACCCCTGACTGAGTGAGTACAAAGGTCACTCCATGGCCTCAGTAAGGCTCCTTCACTGTGCACTCATTCTGTGCCTCCAAGAACAAAGAGCATCCTGGAACTTTAGGAATGGGAAAATAGCAGAAATACCAAGGACCCTGCCAAACATGGTAATTGACAGCTGTAATCCCAGCACTTAGGTGCCAGGGCAGGAGAAGTGTTACAAGTTTAAACTCAGCTCAGGGTACAGAGTGACTCTGTGACTCAAAAAAAAAAATCAGTTAATTAAAATTTAAAACTTACAGGAAGGACTATGAAGGAGATTAGGAAAATAATTCCTGTGAGGTATAGAAGGGAAGGGGTGTTAGAAATATATCATGATGCTTTAAAAGTGAATTATTAAGTATTCAAATAAGATGAAACCAAGCTAAATGTGTAGAAGTGTTTAATTACAGCACAGTCCATGAAATAGCACTTCCTACCTTCAAGCAAGCACACGTAATAACCACCCTTGCAAAGTGTTTACGAGGAGACAGGGCCTCAGGGACTCACTTCTGCAAATAGAAGGGAATTATGTAATTAACGTTAATTATTAATGATGAATTTGGGAGAAAGAGGGCAGAAATCGGTTTGATCTCCGTAGCCTTCTTTTACTTCACTTGTGTCTTCCTGAGAGAAGCGCCTTGCACTGAGCACCCTGGAACACTTTCTGACCTATGTCCCTGACTGGCAAGACCAAGGGCCTGGCCTCAGTCTGCTGGAGTGGGCAGCACTGCCTTCGGCAGGTAGCTAACCCTGAGTCTGCACTCCCATCGCGTGCCGCTCGTCTCGGGGGGTCTGGAGTCTGCCCAGGCTGCAGCTGCCTCCGGTTTTGCAGTGTGTCTGAGGACATTGTCTAGGGGGCTTTAATCTTGAGTTCCTCTGGAAAAGGTATCTTCAGAAAGGGTTAAGAGGTGTTCTGTAAAGTGATGAGACACCCTCTGCGTCTTGGATTTTCCATCTTTTCTCCCAAATTTGGCCAAATCACATTGTGAGTGGTATTCGACTAGAGTGAGCACTGCTACGGGACTGTGAATTGCATGGCAATTTTACAGCTATTTCAGGTCCAGGAATGCGAGGTGTAAATGTCAGAAGGTGCCAGCCTGCTAGTCGTTTGAGAGTCGCCCATGGGTGCCCAGTGTCACCGTGACCCAGGGCTTCCAGCTCCATGCTTCTAAGTCCCATCCGAGTCTGAAGACTCGGTACACTCTGCCTTCTCAAAGGAGGGGTGCATCTGACTCCCCAGTCTGCTGGAGACTGGCGAGAGCCAGGTTAGTCTTCCAGAGGCTGTCTATGCAGGCCTTTCGTTCAAGCCCCTCCCTTCATCTCCCCTTGAAACAGCTGGCAGTGTGCCTGCTCTGCTAACCTTTGACACTCTGGGCAAAAGAATTCAGCCCACATCGCAACCATTTTGTTTCCAATTAAAGGGATATTCTACTCCCCCGTCTTAGTAATATTAAGGAGAAAATCAAATCAGATCATTGTATTGCCAAAGTGGTTAGTGTAACCAAATTGTATTTGGA